ATGAAAATTTTTACTCGAATATTATGAACATACTGTCCAAATATTTTTCCCTATTTCACTTACACTTGGGGCAACGAAAGATTACGCATGCGTTATCAATTTATGAAAACTAAACGTGGCTACAGCATTGAATCACCTAACCTTTGAATGAAGAATTGCTTTCTTTCATGAAACTTACTAAAAAGTAACCCTATGCTATGATTTTGAGCCAATTTCATAAAAATCGTCGGCGCTTTATCAACTATTATGTAGTAACATTCATATTTTACATTCCGTTTTCCAACTCCGATATCTGACAATTCGAATATTTCAGTATATGCGGACCTTTAGACTTGGCCTCGGACACAGTTATTTCCTATTTCAGGTCAATATTTACGAGAAAAAAATCACTCAAGGTTTATTAGTCATAAAACAATTGTTTGTTTAGTATAAAAATATAAGAGTATTGAAATACTAGAAATTTTTTGGTTATCAACATTACCTGTTGAACGAAAATCTAAGAAATTGCCGACGTTTGTACCTACAGCTATCTGTTTTCGATGTTCCGAATGCAAGCTATTATCCAAACTAGAGCTCTCTGATTAAACGTAAATTGTAACTATTTTGTCTTCCTTTTTCACTTGTAGAATAAAAGCATGCTATATCTGCGTATGGTGTGAATAAGCACATAAGTCAAAATATCGCATTTTCGTATTAAGTCATATTCGTCGACAATAACTGCAGATGCATAACTGTGTGAAATCACATAAGTCAAACACGAAACATAAATAGGTTAAAAATGATTGCGTATACATATACACATTAGTCGAAATGTTATGATTACGGTGGGTTTAATAATATAAGTCAGACTTACGTAGTTTCATACTACATATTCACAAGTGAAAAATCACATATGTCTGACTTAAGTGATTTTACGCTTAACGTGTGTTGCGTGAATTTTGTGTTTATGAGTGTGTGTAAGTGGTACGTAGGTACTTTCTATACGTATTTTTAAAGGTGCAACGATGAGTACTAGTAGTAGAATACTTGTGGAATTATCTCGCAAACGAAGAGAAGTTTTAAATAATGGTAAGCTTTCTTTACAATATTTGAAAACATTTGTGTCGGGGATGATTATACATGTTTTGAATGATTTGATGTTCATTAGAGAGATATTTTGAACGACGATAAACTTTTTTTAAAACTAATGGTTTATTGTTACTTGAAGAGATGTTTAGAATGACTCGAAATTCATTATCAGGGATGAGTTTACGCATATTTTCAAATGGTTCATTTTCACTAGGAGATTGACAAAGTAATATTTTTTCAGAATACGAGTTGAATAAATGGATGACGAGAGGGGACGGGTACCTTCTCCATTCAAATTCTCCAAAGAAATGATGGATACTGTTCGTACACATTTATTGTCATTTCCTACACACGACAGCCATTTCACGAGACGAGAAAATGATAGAAAGTATCTATCGTCGCACTTCACAATGAAAATGATGTACGACCTTTACCGAAAAGAATATACACATGCGAGTGTCTTGTAGCTATTACGGTCAAGAATAACATACTTTGAGATTGGCGATTAAACCAAGAAAATTGGATTCTTGTGATGAATGCGACAAATTCTAGCTGAAGTTAGATCTTGCTACAGATTATATGTGTGAACTTATTATTGAGAGAGACTACCATTTATTTTTAGCCGATGAAACGTATAACCAAAAAGCAAGAGATAAACAAGTAGCAAAAGAAAAGAAAATGTCCAATGTTCAACGTTGAATTCACAGCAGTGCTTGGCTACACCATTCCTGTCGAATTCAATTGCGTTTTACAAACGCCAGCTTTGGACCTACAATTTAACAATTCACGACAACAAAACTAACCAAGCCTTTTGCTACATGTGGCATAAGGCTACTTACTGCAGCTCGTGAGGCCAATGCAATAGCTTCATGTATTTTCAAACATATCCAAAATCTACCGGATGTAATTACATATACGTTCATTCATATACGTGCCGAGAACATAATAAGAACTCTTATATAGCGGCGATGCTAACGTTAGCTTTGCAAAAGTGTCCAAGATTTTGCACAAATAAGCATAAATTCATGTTGTCTGGACACTCACATACGGAAGTCGATGGTGATCATGCTGTATTTGAAAGAAAAAACAAAAAGGCAGTATTTTGATAGGTTATCCCCTTGATTGGTATCAGTTGCTCCGATCGTGCGGTCCTAGATTTTCGGTTACTGAGATGATCTAAGATGACCCAAGACGACTTTTTAGAAATCTCAAATATGTTGAAGGTATATTAGTGAAAAGAAAAAAAACCAGTTGCACACAACGATTTTAAGTGGCGTACCTTAAAGTACAGCGAACGGTTTGGTAACATCCTATTTAAAACCAGCTTGGATGATTATGAACCATACCAGGAGATGTCGTTTCTGCGATAGAAAATATCCGCGAAATGATTAGCTAATGGTGGCAACGTCCCAAAAATCAGAAGTACGTTATTATCAATATCTAAAGAAAAAAAAGCTGATATGTTGTCCCTACTAGAGTTTATTCCACCTGTGTTTCATCCGACTCAACTATTGGCAGATCCAGATTTGAATGAAATTGATGCTGACAATCATAATAAATGATCCGAACACTAACTTTCCAAATGCCCAATTGAAAAACTACGATTTTTGTTATTTCAGTTCGAGAATTTGATTATTTTAGTTCTTATCACTTAACTCTTTTACTTTTCACTTACTTTTTTCTGGTTAATTCAATCTAAGTAGAAGGAGTAGATCACGTAAGTCGATATTATATAACTGTTTCTCGTTGCAGATGCAACAAGTCAATCAAATTATCAATTCATTCTGTTGTTTATTTTGTTTCAAATCTGTGTATTAAGTGTAAAATGCAAAAATTTTCAATTCATCCAAGAATATTGATAGTATGTTGTTTTATTTTTGAATAAATCAGTTTTTATCGCCTCCTGAAAAGTGGACATTTTTGACTCAGGTGCTTATTCCCCCTACACGCAGATATAAAAGTCTGTATTTCATCGCGCCAATTTTATTAAGAAAAAAAACATTCATTGCCAAAACAGGTACAAGACTTAGGTTAGGTTAGGTCTAAAGTGAGTGGGTTTATTCGACCCTCCACCGCAACCCGCATGGGTTTATTGTGGCTCACACCTATTCACACTCGGTCAAATAAACCCAGCTTCTTAACGAAGCCAATTAGTTTGTATGATGAGTGGTTCCCAGCGGAGCAGGCACAAAGTATATGCTCTGCTGTTTCATCATTTTCCAAATAGAGCCGACACACACTGTCTTCCGACAGTCCAAGTCTCTTACATATGATGATTCAAATGACAGTGACCAGTAAGAAGGCCTGTTAGACATCGTAGTTCATCCCTACTGTAGTCCAACAACTGTTTGGTATCAAGCTTTGCCTTGGAGTGAGCCAATACTGGAAGATTCTGCCAGAAGTCCATAAATCTTGCCGCCATCCAGGTGTTCAATGTTTGTTTGACAAGGCCCAAAGCGATGTCAATAACTGGTTCTGGTTCGATGAAGTCACTTGCAGCACCCTTTTTTACAAGGGAGTCAGCAGCCTCATTGCCTTCCAGGCCAGTATAGCCAGGAATCAAGACCATAGACAATCTGTTAAGACTTCTATCGAGGAGAGTCGTGTTTGGCAATTTGCTACCAATTTAGACGTTGCTCGGTAGGAGCCAAGAGCTTTCAACGCCGTTTGTCTGTCCGATAATATTTTTATTGACTTGTGTATGAGGTTGGATTTATCCAATCTCTCCGCACACAATTCAATAGCGTAAATTTCCGCTTGAAATACAGTCGCATAGGTTTCTAGGCAGGTAGATATCTCTGTCCTGGGTCTGCGAGTAAAAACACCTGCACCAGAACCGGACGGTGTTTTTGATCTATCTGTGAACCAACAACTATCTGCTCTTAATATTTCCTTCTCCCGGAGGATCCAGTCCTCTCTACTCGGGTATAGTAAGTACTATATAAGGCAGTTCGTAGTTGACAGTTAGAGGCATAAAGTCAGAGGTCATTTCCAGAATGCTGTGACTTCCAGTGTCAATCAACAGTCTGTTGCACTCTGCATTTAATTGATTTATGTTATGCAATTGGCAATGTGCACAAGTCTGTATGCAGGTACAAGACTTACTTGCAGGACAGCTGTTACAAAGTATAAGTACTTGAAACTGTGAACAGGAATTAAATAATTCATTGGAAAGAAAACATAATAACATGTATAAATCAATGACGTGTATGAATAGAGAGGAATAAATTTTCACATTTTTCATAAACATCATAAAGTGGAAAGAATATGATTTATTTCTCTTTTGAACCCTACAGTGGGTTTGTGATGTACTGTTTGGAACCTTTGGTGTATATTAATGAAGTTTTTTCCCAACTCCAAACCGTTATTATACCATGTTTTATCTACTAGTCCTTAATTAATTTTACAATGTGTCCTCATGTAATAGTCAGGTGAATCTAATAATCAAAATATTATTTCAACAAGCTATATAGTATACTTGTTCATTTGGTGAACTATACTAATGCTAGTATTTTAGAAATGAACAAAATTCCTACAAACGTGTTTTTCTAGAAATGATACATATAAATGAAGAATTTATATCCATGAATAAAAAAACTGATTCAAATAATCTCACTCAAATTTATTCAAATTAGATAATAATAATCGAAGAAGAAATAGTAATGCTGATTCATCAAGTATGTAACTGACTAATTGTAAAACAAATCATTATTTTTATGTTACCAACAAATAATTGTCATTTATTGATTCATGTCAAAATTAACTTTCAAATTATTTTTCATTCGATTTGCTGCTAATTTTTTATATTAATCTCATGTTGAGTACGTTATATGTGTAATGTTTCATACATATGGCCCATTTTTTGATCGGATCCTAGTGCGAAGAAGAAGCCATGATGGACGGAGAGTAAGAGCAAGTACTGAGCTCACTCGATCACTACGATCACTCGAATCGGACTCGTATCGTGGTAGGCGGTAAACGCGAGCGAGCAGGTCGACTCGACGCGCAAGTGTTTTCTGCACGTTCTAAGTAAGCAGGCGGCTGTGTGTCCGATTGTTTCAACAATTGCAATCGTTGGCTTGCACTCTAACGACGGCCGTTGTGCATTGATGACAATTGTTCGAAGTGTTGTGATTTGTTTTGTTGGTTTGCGTGGTATGTTCATTACTTCAGTGCAGTGAAAATATTTTATTTATATGCTTGTAGTTTTCACCTGCGATTCGTGAGTAGATTCTATATTTGAAGCATGAGATTTAGCGCCAAAAGTGACGTCGCGAATATAATGAAGTTGACAGACGTTTAAAAATTGTTTGGAAAATGTGTTCTGTGGTTTTTCGAAAATTTGTCTTGGAATTTGAAAATTGTTTGGATAAATGTTTTTGGTCTGAGGATCTAGTGGGCACTTGATACTATTAGCAATGATAATTGTTGACATTAATTCATTCATAAAATCATATCATTAATTCATATCATAAAATCAGGTACCGGTCAGTCAACCGATTATATCCATTACTGCAAAACAATCGAAATATTATTAATTTCCATCACTGTGTCAACAAAATATCCCATAGAATCGGCAATGAGCGAGCGAGATAGAAAAGATGTGTCCGCGCACTTCCGAAACCTCCTGAAAAGAGATACTCTCGTCATTCGCAATGTTTGATCAATTAAATTGCATTAAAGTGCGTATTGATTTTGCAATTATCGGGAACCAATCAGAAATGGAGTTTTTTCGTTTACTNTTTATTATATTTCAAAATGCCAGCAATTGTTACCCATCCCAGAACAAAATAAATCAAGTATATTTTTGAGATATCACAATTGTACAGCAATATTTATCGAAAAAGAAAGTATATAATATTTTGTCGGATGTTATTAACGATCCAACGGGTATGCGGTTTCAAGATAATCTACATACCTACATAGGCATAAGCCACTACTTCTTATCTGCATACTGCTTACTTATATTTCTTATTGAATAGTGTTTGTTTGCTTCTGAAATACTAAATAGCGGATGTTTTCAATTTCAGAACAGATAGTAAACTAAACACTTGTTATACCAAACAATTCGTATTAACATAATGATTGTTTTTGACAATATACCTCGGTCCTTTTCTTGATATTGAATCGTTTGATGATGTTGTTTTGTGACTGTGTCGAAGTCGGTGTCGAAAATTTTTTCTAGTCATTACTATTGATATACATAACACATATATAAAAGAGTGCATTACAGGTAGATCGTTCATTCAGCTGGAAATAGCTGGATATATTTTTCCATCTCGAAGAAATATTCTGTTTTGATTTATGCCTGTGACGTCAAGATTGCTGCAAATTTCCTTCACTTTGAACCATGTGCCAAAATGTACATATCTGTAGATGATATAGGTATGCAGTTAATATTGAATTAGCACCACTCAGTATTTTTAATAAAATTCCATATATAAGAACAATATTATTATGTCAGCCTCTTTTGTTATAACACTGTGAACTTTTGCATCCAAACAAGCCAGTTCTTGTGGCTTCAGGGGCCTCAATCTGTGGAGCGCCCAGCATGTTCTGGTTATCTTCATTGGTGGCATGATGCGAGTGTTGTCTCCAGCCGCGTCAACGGGTGGTAGACCTGTCACTTCCACCACCTCGTTAGCAAACTGGAAAGAGCTATACAGCACTGCCGCCGAAGATAGGATATGTAATCCCTGAGTTTTTGGGCGAAAAAGTCGGCATGCTCCGGATGTGTTTCACATCATAGAGCATGGCAGTCTCGCCGTGTACTCCTTGGCGCGGGTTTATTACTCTCGTAGCAATCCATAAGGCTATCTCTCAGCTCATGCGTTCACTCAAAGAGTCTGTTGTCATGGACAGAATTGTCACCGGTTGGCAAATTGTTGTTATGGATCCTACCACCTTGCCTCTGAGTCTTCCGAGCGGGTCGACTGTAGGAGCCCCTTCATCGACTACCAGGAATCGAGTTTTGGGTCTACCGGGTGATTATCTCGGAGAGAGAGAATAGTTTTGTTCTCTCTCCCGGGTGCGCCTGGACTGTCGGTACGGTTTTGCAACAGTTGCTCGGGTAAGTGGTGGCGCAACTCACCAAATGCCTTATGTGTTGGTTACCCCCTGCTATATTATTACTGCAGGGGTGGCCATTATTATTATTATTCCCCCAAGGTTGCGCTGGTCGGGCCATATCCTACGACGCCCTGATACACTCGGGAAGGCGCGCCAGCATTACCTACCAATGATCACTCCCCACAAGATGGGGTGAGTGAACATTGGGTTAGAGAAGCATATGCCCTAAGCAAACGCAGTGAGCCAAGAATGACAGCCTTCTGTGCGGTAAGTGGCAAGATATTGAGATTGGAGAGTAGAGAGGGTATCGTTCCACCAAAGACTCCAATAATCAAAACAACCATCTTGACAGAGCGGTCCAGACGGTCGGACGATATTCGTCTCGCCAGGAGATGGAAACTACACGACAAATATTGTCTTGCTCTAATGGTAGAGAAGAACTACTTTAGACTTATTGAATTAATTGAATAAGTCTGGGGGTGCGAAACGAATAGTTCCAATGAATGCGTCACTTCCCGTTCCCCACAACGGATTCAATATCCCCATGAGCGTAGGGCAACACCGGTGTCTCGTTAATACCGTTAATGTGCCGTAAGTGGTTAAGGCCTCATTAATATTTAGAGGGATATAGGCTGAGACCGCATATGCTAGACATGCTGATAGCAAGTGCAGTATTACTACTATTATAGTATTTATTTTATTACATGAAACATTTCTTAATTCCGGAACAAATTAGACAGAAAAAGTTTCTGGCAACAGCACAGTTTGGATTTAGACAGAAATGACATAACAAAGTATTAAGCGATATTGAAATTGAGTCTTAAATGATGAATCAAAATGATCGTTTTCACCAATATTACTTTCATCACAAGAACAAGGTATTTTACAAATGCAATTTTGTTTTCTTCTACATTGTTGGGCTTTCTATAAGTGTATAAAATATATCAGTGTATTTTTTGTTATGTAAGAAGTTCTAACATCTATACTAATATTATGAATGTGAAAGTTTGTGAGGATGTATGTATGTTTGGGGCTCTTTCACGCCTAAACGACTGAACGGATTTAGTTGAAAGCCTGAATAAATACAGCTTATACATCAGAATAACATATAGGCTACAATTTACAAAGGTTTTGAGTAATTTTGGTCGCAACTTAACGAAAAGTATTAAGTAAGCCGGAAAAATTATTGCTCTCTGAGCAAGATAGCTTGGCGTGAGCTGAGCCATAAATGCAATTGAATTGGATACTTTTTTGCAATGAATATTTGAGAATATATGTCAAGTTCTTTAAACATTGATACAATTGTCTTTTCAATTATTAAATATAGATAAACTTTGTCATGAAAAATGAGAATTGAAACTTTCTTTTTTTTACCACTTTCATTTGTAACTAAAGTTACTGCAGTTTCGTCGTATAAGGACATTTTCAAACTGTCCTTGTAGTGCCAAACTGCAGTAACGTTAGTTACAAATGAAAGTGGTAAGAAACATAGAAAGTTTCAATTCTCATTTTTCACGGCTATATTCATCAATTTATAAACTTTGTCTTTTACACTGAGTAATTTGGGAGAATCGTTCAAAAGTTATCACAATAAGAATAACTTGAAGCAACGCAGAAAGTCATTACCTGTCGCGTCTACTGTAAGACGACGGCGGACGATGCGCGGGGGAAGATGAATGGTCTGAGCAATGAAGCGCCATCGCTGAGAACGCGAACCGAACGCGGGCAGACGCGTGAGGGCAGATGTCGTTGACGGTTGTGTTAGTTTAGTTTTTCTTTATAGGTAACATAATATGATTCTCGAAGCTATTCATTTCTCATTGCAGTTGACATATTTTTTTAGTTCTGTATTTTTAAAGTAAAAATATAAGTTGGTTTGAAATGGTCAGTCACGAAACTTAATGTGACAAACTAAATTCTTAGCGGGCGAAGCCGTGGACAACAACTAATCATATCTATTTCTAATTCGATAGTCCTGGAATAAAATGAATAACGTATAAAGTGCTTCATTACCATTTCAACATTGTAAAAGGTGAACACCCCCAGGAAGGTTGTTGAAAATACTGTGATTTTCTCTACAAAAAAACTGCTTTATTCGAAACCCATGACACGACTCAAGCGCCGATTACGTAAAAATGTCGACTACAAAAATCATCAGAACGTTTTTTAGAGAATTTTCTCGAAATCACATATTTTATCGTACCTACACTTGATCCGTACCTACACTTACTTTTTATATAGCATATGAATATTATGATATGAATGGTGAAATTAATTATTTTATGGAAGGCATATTTAAAATACTACTGAGCAGTTTTATGTTGGCTTCCTTATAGAAAAAATTGTTCTCAGTAGCGTTGCATATTTTCAGCCTGCATAGATTTCCTAATAGAACTACTTTTTCACATTGTGGAAGATCTTATTAACTAAAAAATCAACCAGAGAAATATCAACAGTAGTAGGTACCACAAAATTAAAATTCCAGAAGTTTCAGAAGTTTCTAGAGACTTGAGAGTGAGCGATCCTACGCATCAGTCAGTCAGTTGCACTGGAAACAAGGGTTGGCATCTGAGTAATTGGCTCAGAGTGTAGAATTCAGCCGTTGAATCCCAAAGAAGAACGAGTTTTTTCTTTTCGGGAGCGGTCGTTATTCGATCCTATACCAATGTAGCAGCGGTTTCATGAATGGAACTCTCTAACCAATTGGCTACCCACTAACCAAGTATGGATCAGTAAAAATGGCTTTTCACACATGCATTCAAATCGAATTATACAAATTCGTAGTTTAATTGTCGAATTATTCATTTGTATTCAACTTCAGTAGGAGTATCTAATAATACTATCAGTTACTGTGACTAAAAGCTTTCTATTTTTTAAAGGTTATTCTATAAATTATTTTTTGTACAGCGAGCCACACCAACAATTACCGTTTTTTGTTTATTATTTGCTAATGGTAATTTATAACTGGCTTCATCGGGATTTGGTATAATTACGTTCTGGCGTAAAGAAATAATCTGTTTTGTTACTTCACATACCCATAAATATCTGGTATTGAAGTAATTATTGCTGGAAAAATAAGCAAGTTTTAATTTGGGATATAGTTATTACTTTTTAATTGGTACTTCGACTTGTTCATTAGCTTTCATTAAGAGTCGTTAATAAATTGTATCATGCGTCGGTTTGGAATACGCGTGAATGTACTTACGTACTTGTTTCTCATAACTTGTCGGACAGTCATTCCTAAAGTAATGGAGCTATCAGAACTACAGGTATTTTATCAACATATGAACTGAAAGAAAAATTACCACTATTGACTCGTCTGCAATTTTCTCTGATGAGAAATGAATATTATTTTCTACAACCATTTGGAAAAAACGTCAATTATGTGACCGTTTCCTATTACGAAAGTAGGTAAGACTATCTATCCATAACTCAAACTCAACCAATCACAGTTGACCAGATTCATAACTTGCTACCTTCGAGGCCAAGTATCGATGAACAAATTTATAACTTTACAGTAGTGTTGTAGTCCAAACATCAAACTTAGTCATAGAACTGAAATTATTTCGTTTTAAAATATATGTATTGTTCCTAACAGAAAACAAGAATAACAACAGGAACTCGGGAAGTGGAAACGATTGTATGCACATCTATTTAAATTCTAGGTTAACTCGCGATGGAAGAATATAGGATATATTTTTGAGCTTGAAAACACATCTTTACAAAATTTTCTTGGAAAATACATTACTGCATCGGTTAAATGCCAAAATGATCGGAAAAATGGCTGATAAGACCAGTAAAATGAAGGACGAAAGTGGTAAAATCATTATCACATAGTCATGAAATCAGAAATCTATATACTGATTCACTGCGAGTTTTTCAGATCTATTATGATGCTCCTTGGTTGTTGAGCTCATTTTCTAGCTTGGTATCTTCGATGAGACTCCATAGCCTTGACACTGACCCTTTCATATAGCTGGCAGCCTCTTGTTTCTCTTTCCCGCATCTTGCGTGTCTCAACCTTGCTATAGCTTCGCATTCACAGAGCAAATGCAGTGCGGTTTCTTCCTCTTCTTGACAGAACCTACATTGGGTTTCTTCTGTCAGACCCATGTTGCTTATGTTTCCTGAGTAGGCTACGCCCCGTTAGTAGACCCACCACTACCCTTACAACCTTACGGTTGTGGTTTAGCAGGTCTTCCGTGAATGATTTCTTTATGAACTATTTCGCCTGCCTCATTCCTGGGAGCTTACTTCACCAATCTATTGAGTCGGCTTGCATCCATGAATTTACGGATGTCTTTATACATGGTTGCGCTACCCCGCAGAAGGGTTCTGAGCTGATCATAGCCTTGGATGCATCTTCACGGGCTAGAACATCGACTTCCTCATTGCCCTTGTGACCCTCATGTGACCCTCATTGTCCCATTGTGACCCAAGCTAGAGTGACCCTATTTTGGGTACTTGGGTACGGAGAGAATAGCAATGGTTTCATTTGTGACCTTCTGTCTGTTAATTTCCCATATATACTGTGTTCCAGTTCTGCCTGGAACACAGTTGAGTTTTGAGTGCGATTCTCGTCTTTGCTCTGTCTCCGTATATACTGGATCCCACTCCTTTTTGGGTCTTTGAGTCATCTGAGTTTTTTCCGATTTTACCGGGGCCGTTTTGCCAGTCCTCTCTACTTGGTGTGATGATTTTGAAATCTTTTTGAGAGTTGTACTGCGGAACTATGTTATCCACGGGCATTCCTAGTATTGGATCTGCCTTCAGTTCATTGAACAGTTTCAAGTATTTTGCACCGTGTGACTGGCTGATTGGGGTTCGCCCCTGCATTAGCCTGTGTATCACCAGTCGAGCGTCTCTTTTTATGTAGATGTTCAATGGTGGCAGTCCGAGTAGGACCTCAAGTGCTGCAGTTGGGGTCATTCTCATGGCTCCCGCGACACTTAGGCACGCCACCCTTTGTATGCCACCTAATAGCCTAGCCGTACCCGATTGTCTTGTTGTTGTCCACCAAGTCACTACACCGTATGTTATCATGGATCTCACTACCCTTGAATATAACCAGAGTGTCATTTTGTGTTCAGCCCCAGTTTTTTCTGCATATTCTTCTGCAGATTCCTAGGTCCATCGTGGCATTATGTGCTGTATTTTGGATGGTTCCACGTAAGCCTGTGATCGAAAGTCACACCTTTTCCTTGTGAACACGACGATGGTGGTTTTTTGGGCATTCACTGAGAAGTTCCCATGTCCGCACCATCTGCCGACGATGTTCAAGGCTATTTGCATGCCCTCCAAGATGACGCCTGCAAATTTCCCTTTTGTGACTATCACTAGTTCATCAGCATCATCCCAGGCAATATATGCCTTCTTCAAATAGCTTTCTGAGGAGATCGTCTACTAGGGTTGCCCATAGCAATGGCGATAGTACGCCTTCTTGTGGGCATCTCTTCTCTGCTCTTATACCTGTAGTGAGCCAGACAACGGATCACTTTTAAAATTCCAAAGAGAGCATATTCGAACTTTTTCTCCCCAACTTCCATCAGAAAGTAACTCTGACTTTTTCCTGTATATAATATTATTTTTTGAATCTACAACAATTACTCGACAACTTTTCTCGATATCTGTTACTATTTTTGAAATATGAATTAATTTCAATTCTTTTCTTCGAAAATCGTGACCTCTTTGAGTTAAGGGATACCTACTATGATCCCAAAATTTTGTTGAAGTTAGGTAATATTTGAAGGCTTCTCGCAATTCAGCGTAATCTCCGTTACTTCAATACAGGGTGTTGAAAAAATACAGTTTTTTCGTTTGGTTGAGAAATTGACTGAAAGTTGATTATATCAATTGGAACACCCTGTGTATTGTTTCAAATTCGGAAAGCTGTTAAAATTCACTCTCTTTATATGTATATCATGCGTATATATCTAACTAGTCAAGTTTCGGACTTTGAGCATTTATTTGTGAAAATGTCTCTTCAGAATGGTATTTCCTTCCGGTATTTTGAAAGCAGGTCATGATTGCTATTTGACAGTAACGTTGTGACATTTTCCTAATAATATTGACATTTTTGTCACTTCGCAAGTTTCGAATATCTCCAAAACGTTAGACCAAAACTATTCAAACGAAGTTCTTATGAATTTGTTTATAATTGACAACGGTATTGATGAGGAATTACAAATCAACGCATTTCATTAATTAGATACTACGCAAAATCTAATCCAGTACCAATAACCTCTCCACCGTGTGATTGTTGACATGTTGAGCGTGAAAATTGTTGATATCAAGGTTACTAGTGTCGTTTACTTTTCGCCCGTCTGCATTCCTGAAATAAATGCAAGTAATCATGCCAAGCATTCAGCAGAGTATTCGGTAAATTGATTTGTCATACGGGTATATTTTATTCACCTTACCTGTAGTTTCCTGACTCATTCAATCTGTATTGTTCTTTCGAAGAAAATAGCTTCTCTTTGGAATCAAAATGTTCTTTTACACTTGATGACATTCAAATTGAAGGCAGGATTCAGATTGAATCACATTCATACTAGTTCGTGGAAAATACAAACCTTTCAAAAATGAATAGAAACCCAATCATTTTTTTAATCTTTTCAAGACAAATATCATCCAATTAATTTGTACCAGATTTTTAGATTCAGGGAATACAATTATTTTCACGTAAATCAATTATTGAACTAGAAAACTTAGAAGAAACTCAGACAATTTTCAAAAGCGTAGCATCACACAACTACTATAATTTTTGTTTTTTCCTGCTCTCTAAGCAGATATTTAACGTAGTCGAGCATAATTGAACAATAAAAATAAATAACTAAAAATAAATTCAATGATGAATAAGCACTTCTTGATCAATACATCGAAAATAACATTACAATTTATGATTTAGCAACTTGGCAAGTACTTCAGACGGTAGTAAAACTGCTGAAAAGTGTACTGTCTCGTATTTTATGGAGGTTGGTCGGTTGTGTAATTGAATGTTATGAATCACGTGTGTCTAGTACACACTACGAATTTTAGGGGAAAATTATCGCTGCTTATTGAAAAATTTCATTAACCCAGATAATGCCACTGTCCTTTTAATAGGTCAGCTTCTAGATTCCTATATTTCAAGAATTTTATTCATTCTTTCATAGATGGCGCCTACTTATATGTACAGTTAACCTATGTGTCAGTTATTGCAGTGAATAGATAACAAAAATTTCACTTCTGTAAGCTTCAGTTTATAATTGAGTTTGCTTGTATTTGTGCGTAACAGATATGGACAATTGGAGGTAAGGTAGAATTTATTGAAATTTATTTATTTTGACAAAGTTATGTTTATCGAAACGTAAAAATATTGTTCTTCATATTTGATAACTAAAATAAACAAATTTTTTATTTTTTTTCGTACATTTTGTTGAAAATATGTGCTGTCCTTTATAAAGGCCAGTGGCATGAACAGGTACTACAAACTTTTTTTATCGTTACAGTTATTTCAAGAGACCTCTTACGGCTCTTGAACTCATGGAAGAGATAGAAAATATTGATGATGATACAAAGTTACCAGATGCTATAGTGCTTTTTCCACCTATTAATGCTAATGAAGGAGATACAGACGAGGATTCAGGAGACGAAGAAAATGTCGGTATCGATAATCTTCCTGCAGGGCAGCTCAACGCAGAAGTAGAAATAAGGCTGAACTCAGGCGAGGAAGAAAATGTAGGAAATAAGGATGAATTAGATTTTCCTGACGAAAATAATGGCATGGAAAATAACGACATAAGTCAAGATAACTCTTATAAGAGAAATGACGAATTTGAAGAAAATTGTCCCTTGTCATATTTTATAAGGTACAAAAAAAAGAAAGCAAAATCATGTAACTGGGTTGAGAGAGATATTAAAGATAACATGACTTCCTGGAAAAATATACAAGGACCAAGTAATCAGTTATCGTCAGTAGAACTCTTCAGCTTATTTTTTGATGATGAAGTATGGCAAATGATAACTGACTATACCAATTTGTATTCAATCCAAAAAAATAGACCTGGTGACATAAGTCTCAATGAAATAAAATGTTTTTTTGGAGTACTATTACTAAGTGGCTATCACTACTTTTCCAGAAGATCCTTGTATTGGGAAAGTAATGATGATGCTGGTAGCAAACTAGTGACTTCTGCAATATCGAGAAACAGATTCAATTTCATTATGCAAAATATTCATTGTAACGATAATACAATCCTGAATGTAAGCGACAAATTTTCAAAAATACGACCTCTTGTGGAAGCACTTAATAAAAGATTCATCACTTTTGCACCCGTTCAGGAATGTCATAGTATCGACGAGACAATGGTGCCATATTTTGGACGCCATGGTTCGAAACAATTCATAAAAGGTAAGCCCATAAGATGGGGCTACAAGTTATGGACAGGAACTACTTCAAAAGGTTACATCGAGTGGTTTGAGCCTTACCAAGGTTCTACAACAAACTTGTCAGAAAGATATAAAAATCTAGGTCTAGGTGCCAGCGTTATATTGAGTTTTGCTGATGCTCTCGTATCTGAGAAAGGATGTTTAACATTCCACTTTTTTTTGATAATTTTTTCACATCTTTCGATCTTCTAATGGTATTGAGAGATCGAAGAATAAGAGCAACGGGCACTGCTCGAGAAAATAGAATTCCAAATTGTTCCATAAAGAGTTCTACTATAATGAAGAAAGAAGTCCGAGGTATATTTGATTACGTACTGGAAGAAAAAGAAAATATTCTAGTTTGTAAATGGCACGATAACAGTATAGTGACAATGGCATCCAACTCTGAATCTGTTTTTCCCCTAGCCAGTGTTTCACGATATTCACAGAAAGAAAAGAAAAAAATCGTTGTTAAACAACCAAATATCATCAAAAAGTACAATAAAAATATGGGAGGCGTAGATAGAGCCGACCAAAATGTGAGTCTCTATCGTGTCTCTATCAGAGGCAAAAAGTGGTATTTCCCTTTGATTAGTCAATGTTTGGATATGGCCGTGCAAAATTCTTGGCAGCTGCATAAATTACAAGGCGGTAAGATGGATCAACTGGCATTTCGTCGATCTCTTGCTCAGGATATTTTAGAGACTCATAAGAAAACTAGCAAACGAGGTCCTATTAGATATTAGACCAAGTGCCTACTTACATGAACATTCTCGATACGATCATTTAGATCATCTGATAGTTTATCAAGAAAATCAGACAAGATGTGGACAGTGTCATAAAAAGGTAAAATTCAGATGAGATAAATGTGATATAGCACTACACTCTAAAAGTTGTTTTCTTGAATATCATACAAAATAGAGTTATTATGAAATGTTTCTCAGGTTAACTTTTATAGAATAGAGATATGAATAAAACGATATGAATATTCATGTAGATGTTTATTATGCCACCGTCCTTTTAAAAGAACGGTATATATATCAGTTCTTTCAGTAGATAGATAAGGAAAATATTAAAAAGTATGTTTTTTGTAATTTAATTGAGCAGAAAAAAGAACCATTATGGAAAATTTTCGAAAAAATAATTTCGGGAGTATCTGGGTTAACAAGTTTTTATATTCATACGGCTCCAAAATAAAAAAACTTAGATGTATACATTTTCACTTGAATATCAACAACATTTCTTCTGCTTACTATATATTTCCAGATGTTTTTTGTGAATTTTAGAATTGACTTTCTTTGGTTGAGTTTGTTGAGGCAAGTAATGCATTAAAATATTTATGTGCTTCAATTAAAAATACTCGGAAACAGATTTGTAATATTCCTTTGTTCAAATATATAACACTCAGAGAAAAAGTGGTGTGCCTCTTCATCCTATTTTTGAAATAAAGAACTGTTATAAACGAATGAATTTGCATTCATGAAGTGAAACCCATTAAATTGTTTCATTCTCTTTGGAAACTTCAATATTCGCTTGAAATCTCAGAACCAGATTCAATCGCTGAGTTTCTGAGTCTCCTACTAGGTATCAGGGTTCTAGCTTATTCGCTGACATTCTTTACAAATATTTTGTTGATGAAAGCAAACTATTGAAGTTACTATATACTAGAAAGAAATATTAATAGCAGATAGTTGATGGTTCACAGATGGATCGAAAACACCTTCCGGTTCTGGTGCAGGTGTTTTTACTCGCAGGACAAGAGATATCTACCTGCTTAGGAACCTATGCGACTGTATTTCAAGCGGAAATTTACGCTATTGAGTTGTGTGCGGAGAGATTGGAAGAATCCAATTTCATACACAAGTCAATAAAAATGTTCTCGGGCAGTCATGCGGCGTTGAAAGCTCTTGGCTCCTACCGATCAACGTCTAAATTGGTAGCAAAGTGACAAAAATGACAATCCTCGATATGAAGACTTAACATATTGTCTCTGGTCTGGATTCCTATCCATACTGGTCTGGAAGGCAATGAGGCTGCTGACTCCCTTGCAAAAGAGTGTGCTGCAAACAGCTTCATCGGACCAGAACCTGTCATTAGTATCGCATTAGGCTTTGCCAAACAAACATTGAACACCTGGATGGTAAGAAGATTTATGGACTTCTGGCAGAATCTCCCAGGATTAGCTCACTCCAAGGCGTTTATTCACCCTTCGAAGTTTGATACAAAACAGTTGTTGGACTACAGTAGGGATGAACTACAATGTCTAACAGGCCTTCTTATACAGGTCGCTATCATTTGAATCATCATATGAGACTCCGACTATCGGAAGACAGTGTGTGTCGCCTCTGTTTGGAAAATGATGTCACAACAGAGCATATACTTTGTGCCTGCCCCGCTGGGGACCGAATCAGGATTTTAGAGTTCGGCAGAGCCGTACTTTTACCATCTGACCTGAAAGACCACTCACCATACAAACTAATCGGCATCGTTAAGAAACTGGGTTTATTTCATTGACTGCGAATAGGTGTGAGCCACAATTAACCCTTGCGGGTTGCGGTGGAGGGTCGAATAGATCGAATAGACACACTTTAGACCTAACCTAACCTAACCTACTATCATCTCGTTTGAGTAAAACTTCTACACATATCCCTTGTTCTTGTCACTTTCTGACTGTTTCAAAAAATGAGCTGAAGGAATTTGTTAGTACCTGTAATGCGTGATATTAAAAAAAAGTTTATCTTGACTTCAAGTTACCATCTAATGTTAATTTGTGTTTTGGATCCAGGCACATCTCAGTCAATTATTTCTGAGCCTTGTTCTGTGAACAATGCTCCACTATGATCTTATTTAATTCATATGCTTTATATGAAAAGTATTGCACTTCGAAGTTTTCCATTCGGTTTCATGTTTTCAGTCAATTTCCCCTGGAGACTGAAACCTGATTTTTGAAAAAGTTTCTGAACGTTTGGAAATGTCTTCAAGGAAACTGTTTGATTCTTTTGTATTTCTTATGATAAGATAATTTGAAGATGAAACGCTAACACGGTTCAAAACTATCCGTAAATATGTATTCAGATGTGGGTTAAAAGAAACCGCGGCTCCAGACCCGACTGGGCTAAACATTTCGTAGTGGAAAAACTACCCAACATCCATTGTATTCTCCAAGATGCCTTCAATAAGTTATACCACTCTGGAGAACTCGCTTCACTACAACTTCTGGTAAGACCAAAGTCCAAATAGTCATTTCCATAAGGGATGTATTAAAGGGCGATTCCCTCACTCTCCTTCATTTTTGCGTTTCAGAAAGACTCGAGGGTTCAACTGTGGCACCCGTGGATACATACGGTCACCAATCTTGAACCATCTGAAGCGGAATGGCTCCAGATGTAACTATTCTGGTTCTGATAGGAGCACGGAATACATAATATGGATTCGAATTTTTTTTCAACTATTTGCCGGAGCTGTAGATAAACCTGCCTTGATTTTAGACACTGAATGAGGTGACCAGAACTCTGCTACTGAGTAGGAATGTATTCAGAAAAAACACAACTTGTTTAATGCGGTTCGAAACTATCTGTAAATATGTATTCAGATGTCACCAATTTGAACTGGCTGGAGTAAAATGGCTCCATCTAGAACTATTCTGGTTTTGACATTGGTTTTAGACACTGAATGAGGTGATCAGAACTCTGCTACTGAGTACGAATGTATTAAAAAAACAAAAACAATAAACATATTATCCAATAAAAGCTTCACCCATGTCTTGCTCGAGGCAAGTGAGCCGGAGCATTCATGGTCTGCTAGGATGGAGTCTTCAATATCATGGCTTACCGTAAGCGACACCATATTCTTTAGGAGAGATCAGTTTTTGGAAAAGAACTTTTTGGAGAAGTTGAAAGCCAAAAATCTGTTGATATTTTATGAAAAAACAAAGTTTGGTCAGAATCTTGTATATCAAATTGGACGATAAACCAAACCACCATTAATGATCTTTCGTTAATATTGACGGTCATTTAGATTTTACCCTCGGTTTTTACAGATGGAATGTGAATACGTCATTGGGGGAATTTATTGTTCTTTTCAATTTCGATATATTTTTTTTTTGATCAATGTAATACTCAAATGTTGAGCCATGTTTTTATTCAACACGAACTTTCTTCTCCTCAGCGGTACAAGCAATTACATTGGAATGATTTTCAGAATTATCAATGACAGAATCAGTCACTTTTCATGAAATTTATGACAAATTTGATAAAAACCAAAGTCTTTTTTGAAATATGCTTTAGATCAGAAAGAAATTTACACACAATAGACCAGCGTGTAGAATTACCTTCAAAATATTCATCATTACTGTCGGAATTTTGTTTTATACTAGGCTGAGAAGTTAAAGAACCCGAAAAACTCATGGAAATGAAATATTTCGTTATATATATTCAGAGTTTCCACATACATTTCTCAAACACCAAGAAATAATTATATACAATTATAAGTAAACCTAGTATTTCCGGATAATGAAGCGACAGTTCAACTGAGTATAATGTTATTTAAAAAAATAATTTAACACGATGTACGCACGTACCATTGAATTTTTTTTTGAAGTCATTCCCATTATAATATAGACAATGCAATTTGAAATTCCTAACAATGTTTTCTATTATCTCTAATCGGCACGTTTTAATTTGGTAATTATTCGCAATTAAAATCATTTATTTTTGTAATTCATATTATTTTCATAATTAGGAACGAGTTGTATTCATAAGTAGGTATCTGAAAATCTCCTTCATAAAGTTATCAATATCATGCAGTTATTTTATGAAACTCAGTAGTTCATCTGATTTGGGACGATTTAAATTGTTCTACAGAAGATTTCAACGGTTAACAATAATAATAACTATATTATGTGAAGGTGCATTAAAGATGCATGCCAAATAAGTATCGGCAGAAAGTGACGAAACATTTTCATTTGTGAAATAAATAAAAGGCAAGTAAAAACTCAGAACACAAAAAAATTATTTGCGACAGAAAAATAATTTGAAATTATAACCCTTCGTTAGTACATGAGCTTACTGTACTAATCAAATATATACCAATGGTATATTTTCGATGAAATGATAGAAAGCAAAAAGGAACTGAAGATTTTAATCAAAACCAGTGAAGTACGCCTATCTTTGAAAGTAGAAAACCTGAAATCTACAATCACCAAATTGAAAGCTGAAAATCGAAACCTGAGGGACAAAATAGAAAACCTCGAAAGAGACACCAAAAAATAACTATATTATAGTATTCGATCTCGACGAAGTACCAAGTCAAAAAAACTTAATCGATTAGTGAACGAAGAAGTAAATGACACAAATACTGGGTAATTATTGAACATGCGGCAAAAATTTAAAAGACTCATCCTTGGATTATTCTAAGAATATTTTGTCCTTTGATGATTATTGATAGGGCGTTAGAAGATACAGAGCGAAAAAAATTTTTGACAATAACAATATAATTTATTACCAAAAATTACATGTAATGTTTCTTAATATACAAGAAAAGTTTACCGCCGTGATCGGATGCAAGAATCCAATCTTTTCCTCATATTTTCCACTGGAGTAGTATAAACTGAAGACTTCAGGTGACCCGGTGATTGAGCAGGCCATAAGTGAGGTCCAAATCGACCAATCCCGCGATCTCCGTAAATTATTATTGCAAACACGAGCCAATATGCTAAAATGCGCTGGTGCACCATCTTGCATAAATCACATTGCATTTCTTGTAACCATCCTCCAGAAACTGAGGTAGCATTTGTTTCAAAAAGTTGCGGTATACTTCGCCGGTAAGTCTTCCTGGCAGAAATACCGGCCCAATTAGGAAGTCACCTACCAATTCCCATCCAAATTTTTATCGAGAACTGATGTTGAATGCGATCTTTAAGCATCTTATGTATATTTTCTTCAGCCCGAACATGGTTGGAAATTCCTTATAGCATTTCTTGAGAAACTGGCTTCATCAGTAAAAAGAATAAGCGTCAATAGTTGAGGGATTTGAACCAATGTGCGCAAAACCCATTGACAGAATGCAATACGTGGTAGAAAATCTGCGAGAAGAAGTGCTCAAACTCGTTGTACGTGGTATGAGTACAACATATAGTCTCTAATTATGTTCCAAATCATCCCGTTACTAACATTCAAAGTATTTGCAATTTTTCGAGTAGAAGTACCTGCATCTTCTTCTATCGTGGCCAGCATAGTCTCTTCTACTTTTACCGTTCTTTCTGTCATTGATCCTCCATTTCGCTTCAATGCTCCTGTTTCACGAAGTCGTTGATGTATAATTTGGAAGGTTTTTCTATTAGGCACATTACGATTAGGAAATCGTTCACTGTACAACCGTCTAGCTTCCAATGAATTGCCATCAGCAAGTCCATAAATGAAATTCATGTCAGCCATCTCTGCGTTACTATAGCCATTAGTGATATATGACTTCACTAACAGGACTTCAACTATTGAACACAGAAAATGCACGTCAAATAGGCAAAGTCAATCAGTTTCAACCTATTCGTCACATACTATTCAAATTGAATGTCTGCAGCCATTTGTAGTAATCGGAATGCTGTTGATTGGTACCAACGGAATTGTTAGATTTTTTATCACTTGGTAGGTCCAGTGTAGTAGGCTCTACTTTTATTTCGGCTATGTTAATGATTTTAAAATTACCAAAATTGTTATTATCGAAATTATTTTTCTCTCTGTACCTTCAAAACTAGAGTAACGCTAGTTGCACACACAACGATTTTGGATGGCCGACTTTGTACTGGTCGTCCAAATTCCAATAGTGAACCACATGTGGGAACGGGACCTTGCACATACGCCGACCGGTGATCGTCGCCGGTAAAATACCGGTGAGCAGCCGTCCACTGCCACTGTATCGCCGGCAGTACCGGGAAGTAGTGGCGTACATGACTAAATACACTCTTGCATACTCACCGGTTTTTTACCGACCATTCCAGTCTCGAATGCTCGGTGAAATTGTAGTTACTACGCATTAACTTCGTTTTGTTAGTGCGTGCTAATTACGACAACAAAGCAACTGATTGTTTGACCGATAAAAATTCGGTTAGTGTGCAAGCACCCGCTACCAATAAAATATCGGCCGATTTTATACTGGCTGTCCAAAATCGGTGTATGTGTGCAACTAGCGTAAGAGGACTCCGTTGGGAAGACTTGAGACGATGCAGAATAAGGTGCTTCGTATCGTGACTGATAATGATCGATACATTTCATTGGAGCGTTTACGAGACATAGCGAAGGTCGTGCCGATTACGGATTTGATCCGAAGACTTGGTTACAAACAGTTCAAGTGGTCCTCCGAGAAGTCCGCTTCTCGTAATATCACAGCAGTTAGAGTTTATCATAATCAACTCCGCGGTCACGGTGGGTTGATTTACGAAGCCCTCGATATTTTCCATGAGCGACATGTAAATGACCGTTTGTAAGTTCATGAAAAAACTGGCATAGAAAACTTCCTGTAGAAATTCTGTCCTGGTGTTTTCAGCACATCGACAGCTGTGCTTTCATTTGAACGACCTAAATATCAAAACCATGTAATGGTGTGCATAAGCCTTGGCGGCAGGAGGCACATTACCTGGTCGTTTTTAATAAAGTCCAGGTTTCTGGGTTAGCTTCAACCTGCTAACATCGCGGGAGGCGTTCCCCACCGCCTCCTCTCGGCGGGGACACGGGGGTGCGCCTGTCTAAAGTCACTTTGTTACTCTACCCTCAAGGTAAAGGTACTCATGAAATGTAGGCATGCGAATTGTTTATTTTAATAAAAAATATTTTTGCTTTTTCTTTTATTCTACCTATTAAAAATTACAATGCCAAAATATTAACATATTTCCAATATCTCTGCAAAACATGAAGAAGAAACGGGCAAAAAAAATATTTCAAAATCTATATTTTTCAATATCAGTCGCGATAGTAAAGAAAACAGTTGTTTGAAAGCTATTTTCCGGGTTTTTTGGCCGTGGTATGCAGGAAAATAGCTTTCACACAGTTTTCTCCGGTCGTGAAAGTTTAAATTTTTTGAAAACTTTGTTGCGTTGTTTAGCCAAATATTTGGATGTATGCTCGCTTGTAAAATATTTAATTATACGATATTATTATTTCAAATTACCTGTGTTCAAAATGCCTCTTTGTTACAGGAACCAACAGCCCGACACAACATGCCTGCCCCCCACTAAGATACAACAACACAAAAAAGACAAATCATACAGAAACAATAACCGATAACAATCGATCTCAAAACGAAACCAACTCAGGAACATCCCAATCGGCGTAAATGCTGATAAGATAACACAAGCGACCATTCGCACGGTGCAGACTGTGCGACGAGTTTTCGGCATAGGTGACTGAACGGCTTAACCATTGGCGTAGAGATTGCCCCTTCACTTTGCCCAATGGGGGGCGATACCTCCCCAGAGCAGCAGTACTCGCTGCGATGGAACGACTACCATTCCAGTATAATAACGTCGTTTCGACGATTGCTGGACGAGGAGGACTTCGTGGACGTGACTCTGGCGTGCGACGGTTGTTCCTTCAACGCCCACAAGGTGGTGCTGTCGGCGTGCAGTCCGTACTTCAGGAGGTTACTCAAAGCGAATCCCTGCAAACACCCGATTGTTATACTCAGAGACGTTCAGAAAAAAGATATGGATAGTTTATTGAGGTATGTATATATTTGCGCCATATTTATTAGACTAGAATAGACAGAAATTGAGTGCCTTATACTGAAGTATGGGGTTCCACAGGGAACCGTGCTTTGTCCAATGTATTTGAATAGTCTGTTTTATATTTAATTTGAGGAAGAAATTCTGTGAATTTCACTAGTTCGGACTTTCATTGTCTACTCTATAAAATGATTTGAAATCCCTGAAACAACTAAAACAGAATAATTAAAAATGAATAGTTGAAAATTACAATTATATTAAGCAAAATAAACCTGAAATGAAATAATAGTGAAATAAACTACAAGTAAAAATATAACAATTGAATAAATAAAAACAAAATAAAAATAAATGTTGTGTTGATGGGACCAAACATGGTCTGCTATTCCTGATTTGCTGGTTTCCCCTCGCTGTGTGTGCTTCTTCTGCTCGGCAATGCGAACATTCAATGGCCTCTTAGTTTCACCAATATAGGATTTTCCGCACTTGAATTGTGAATTGAATCGGAGTGAGCCAAATTAGACCCTTTCGAAAAGAAACTCCTGTTTTCAAACTAGATGAAAGCTGATGGTTGTGTCTGACGATCAAAATTTTTGACAAACTTAACGGTGAACACCGTATATCGATATCTTCCACCGTTTCTGAGTTACAGCATGATTTTCGAAAATGTGTATTTTCGGAAAGTTGCTGTAACTTTTTCAATGTCAATAATTTCTTGTGTCTATGAAAACATTTCCAAAGTACTTTTTTACGTAGAATTCAATGGTGGGTGTGAAAAACTCATTTTTCAATGAGATATCAATAGTTATTGATGAAAAACAATTTTTTTCAATAAGATATTCTGTTTGTTCCGCGTCGCGTCGTCTAAAGCCTACTTGATGAAAGAGTGCGTTCCAAAGTCTGCATGAAAAAACCTAAAAGCTCTATATTTCAAAGATGACTCTAGCAAAACATCAAGTATGTTACATTTTTGGATAGGTAATTTTAATCTCTAGAGAAATTTGCAGAAATATACAGCGTGTCTCATTGAAAAAATAGTTTTCCATGAATAACTATTTATACCTCATTTGAAAAAATTCTTTTTTACACTTTTGAATTCTACGTGAAAAAGTGCTTTGGTAAGTTTTTCATAGAAACAAGAAATATTTGATAAGAAAAAAGTCACAGCAACTTTTCGAAAGTGCATATTATCCAAAAAAGCACGCTGTTGCTTAGAAATGATGATAGATATTGATATGCGGTTTTCGCCATTAAGTTTGTCATAAAATTTGATCATCAGAAACAGTCATCAGTTTTCATCTATCTAGTTTGACATAACTGCTTGTGTAACAAACAGAATCAGTTCAAAACTACATATTAAAAATTCTGTCTGTTTTAAAATAAAATTAATAATGAAAAAGGTTATCCTTCCAACTGTTTGAAGGTGAATTTTCACGATAGTATGTATGCTTTCCTTATATCAGAAGAGACTATAAGGGAATTTTTATATATTTCCTTTTCGTGAAAAGTTCCTTAACAAAACTGTTGGCTTATCAGTTAGTAGTCCCTGGAGATACCAGGGATAGAAGGTAATGGTCATCGGCATCAGAGAGTCGAGAATTCAAATGTGCTTGCACTCTTTGAACGTGATTTATAAATTATTTAAATTTCAATAGATCTTTTTTTTAATTTATATTTTGGTTGGTTTCTGGGTTTTGCCGTGGTCTTTGGTTACAATCTCCAAACGTTTCAACTGCAACTGCGCCAGTCATCTTCAGTAGCGTGGTCGAAGTACCCTTCTTAACGTATAAACTGAACAGCTGATTGATACGCCAAGAAGAAGACCACGGCAAAACCCGGAAACCAACCAAAACATTGACGCCAGCCGTGAAAACCTAAATTCCCAAAATGTTTTTGTCACCTTTAACGAACTGAAAAATATACAAATTGTAATGAAGAACTTAATATAGGTGTAAGAAGCCAAATTTTTTAGTTTACTCCGATAAATTACTGCGTAATTTTCCCAGAAAAAAAATTATTGGATAGAAGAATCAGGAGAAATTATTCCAAGCCCACGAGTATCAGAATCGGGTACCAATTTACCGTTTCCTTATATTTTATGTGACAATGTTCGTATATTTTGGTTAGACATATTTCAATCAGAATTTTATATTCTCGGAGTATTACCCAATACTTGAAAATATCGCCTAAAATAACACCTGCTGTACGCAATGTCGCATTAACATAAACTTCTCTTGAATTAATTCGGAGGATGACAAGTTAGTCAAATATATTAACATGTTGAATTTCATTAGTTCTGACTTCCATTGTCCAATATTATATATGATTTGAAATCCCTAAAAGAACCAATACAAATAAAAAATTTAAAAAATAGCTGAAAATAACAAACATATCAAGCAATAAAACCCTGAAATCAAATTACAGTGAAATAAAATACAAATAAAAAATAGAACAATTAAAAAAAAATCAGAGATTCCAAGCGAAGTTTCTTCACGACGTTTCGATTGATAGTCTCCACAATCGTTTTCGGGTGATAACTGGACTGATTTCTCGGAGAGATGAGTATTTATGGGTCATTCGAGTACTTTCACTTGTCTCCTCTTTCCGCTTCACCGGTTTATCGGGACATGACCGTTTGGCGGGAGTTGTCCATTTTTCACTTGATTATGGGTTTCCATATGTTGCGTATCTCTACTGTTCTTACGAATTATTTTTTATTAGTTGATCAATAGGAGCTCTTCACCAGGAGGGAGTGTTCCTATGGATTATTTATCTGAAATGTTTGTTTTATTTATTTTGCTCATGTACTAATTATTTATTAGAGATTTTTTGAATAGTTGGCAAAAATAAACAGAATTTGACTATTCCTGATTTGCTGGTTTTCCCTCGCTGTGTGTGTTTCTTGTGCTCGGCAATGCGAACTTTCAATGGCCTCTTAGTTTCACCGATATAGGATTTTCCACACTCATAGGGTATCCGGTTATTCTTGGAATCGCATAGGAATTGGTGGCCTAGTTTTCGTGAAGCTGCTACGAATAGTGTTTCCGGATCTGAAGCAGGTTCTGATGTTGTACTTGGACCCAATTCTTCTTATCTTTTTCGATAATCCTCTGATGTAGGGAAGTGTAAGCACTGGTTGTGACGGCTTCCCTTTCTTGAGACGCTCTTGCTGTCTTTTAGCCAAAGTCTGTTCCACTATCGCTTTTGAGTAGCCATTGCGTTGAAGATTATTTTTGATGATGTCTAGTTCCTTCTCGAGACCTTCCTTCTTATTACAGAGCCCGAAAACACGGTCTAATAGAGTCTTGATGATTCCTTTTTCAGTCGATTGATGGTGGTTGAATTCGTGGCTCAGATACTGTCCCGTGTGAGTGGATTTTCGGTATACAGATGTTTTCCACTTCACCTAAACGTTTTAGTATCAGACACATGTCAGAAGATTGAATCTGATGTATCGTCATGTGTAGCTGACTGACCAACCACCCCAATATTGACCAATTGTTCCTGCAGAAGTTCAATTTGAAACGTCTTTGTTAATCTTGTTTATTGAATTTCATAGTATGTTTCTATCAATTTTTCTATTTGACCCTGTATAAACACAATTAGGGGAGTAATATGTGAATACAAAAAAGTTGTTGTCATTTTTTTATCGAATAAAACCATAGTCTTGACCAAGTTAAAAAGTAAAACAAAGTGAGAGACAAGAATCGACTGAATTCTCTTAAATATGCCAATGATTTTGCCAGGATTTTTCGGAATGTGGTCCACAGATACGATTCTAGACCTGCCCATCCCCGCACGGAAGACTGCAGGTTACCTAAGAGGATTAGGAGGACGTCTTCCGGCTGTCGGAAGCAGCAAAGAAGCCCTGTCATGATTGCAGTCTCCTGCAATCATGGCAGGGCTTCTCTTTGATATATTCACAAGTGACTTATTTCCCACGCCAAGCCACAAGCTTGCTGACAATGTCTGTCAACCTCGGATGAGATAATTCTTCACAAAGAAATTCAGGCCCTGGTAGCAGATACACATTATCTGTCTACCCCACCACAGACCGGATAATGTTTTCAGCGTTCGAGAGATTTCCATTCTTGCCAGCTGACCCAAAAGATTACTCCCATATTAAATAATTGCATTCATTAAGAAACTAGATTTATTTGGTAAAATTTCAATCTCGGTTACTTTGACCTACCTATAATATCATTTTCTACTTCGTTAAAGAGGCACTCCAGAAGGAGTCCAGTTTTGGTTATTATGAGTTTTCATTTAGAATATTGGATATTTTTAAGATGAAACCATAGATCCAAATTGGGAAACGAAGAAATGTTTTTATCACTCTACGTGCATTCTATTAGCTGTCACACTAAGCACCATGTCCAAATATATCGTGATCAAACTATTTTCAATATTCACACACACCTTCAATAATCTTATCTGAAACTATTAGCATCTGTCGAATTTGTATCTCTTAGAATCATTCAACTATTTTATTTCTCGACGAGTATGACCAATTTCTCATTGAAATGGTCAAATTATTGTAATTGACGTTCCCAAATTTACGATTCTTCTTCAGAGAAACAATCATAAATAATTCATCATGAGTAATGACGGTCTTCCTACACATGCATCTTACACGTAGGATTTCAATAACAATGATTAACAAGCCCGTAACTTCTAATAATGCCGAAGATAAATATTGCTCGAAATCCATTCCATACATTACATTTGAATTTTGACACAATAAATCTCTTTGTGATGTTTATTTTTTAATATTACTGGAGTTTTTTCCCAACACCAAATCGTTATTTTTATACCTCGACACGTGTTTCGATCACCAAGTGATCATCTTCAAGAGGAAGATAAAACTAATAACTACTCAAAACTAAAGCTACTTATACTAATCAGGTACATCATACAGGTAGGTAATCAGTAATACCACCCATACAAGTGTACCACCCTAAATTAATTTTACAATTGACCTTTCTATTATTTACAATATGTCCTTATGTATGTTTAAATGTTACAGCTATATATAGAACAATTTTCAGCTATATAAAATTAGTTTCACAATATTGCCTATCTAAATATATTTACAATGTGTCTTTTTGTAGTAATCAGTAAACCCAACAATATTATTTCAACAAGCTATATAGCTATATAGCAACAAGCTATTTGGTATTGGTCCGTTGTCGTTACTCATAATATTATTATGTTTACTTATTTCCACACTCTCATAGGCATCTAGTTGCCTGTTGTTATTAACAGGCAACTAATCTAACTAATCTTAAAGAACTGAAGTCTATGGAATGGTTTTGTTGCAAAATATGATTGGCGACGGACCAATACCAAATAGCATACTATATAGCTTGTTGAAATAATATTGTGGGTTTACTGATTACTACAAAAAGACACATTGTAAATATATTTAGATAGGCAATATTGTGAAACTAATTTTATATAGCTGAAAATTGTTCTATATATAGCTGTAACATTTAAACATACGTAAGGACATATTGTAAATAATAGAAAGGCCAATTGTAAAATTAATTTAGGGTGGTACACTTGTATGGGTGGTATTACTGATTACCTACCTGTATGATGTACCTGATTAGTATAAGTAGCTTTAGTTTTGAGTAGTTATTAGTTTTATCTTCCTCTTGAAGATGATCACTTGGTGATCGAAACACGTGTCGAGGTGTAAAAATAACGATTTGGTGTTGGGAAAAAACTCCAGTAATATTCATTACTACACCAAAGGTTCCAAACAGTATATCACAAATGTTTATTTTTCACAAAAAATAAGTCATACACCGCCATTTGCGTAGACAGAGAGGTCTCATTTTCATCGAAATACTTTTGTAATGATTTCAACCAAGTGAGTCTATTCGTTTTGTTTCCGAAGATATACAGGAAATACCAAAAAAAATTACATATCTCATTTCTGGCATACCTATATTTTCATTGTTCTCGAAAATATTGAGAATATTTTCAAACGTTATCACGGGAACTTAGGATCAACTATATTCATATAACTTTTATACAGGATGACGACAGACTTGAACCACCTTGAAATTTTGAATAGGGCCATATTTTTTCGGTTATATTTTTATAGCACGTTTTTGATTAACAATGTGATGCATAATAATGTGAAATGAGACTTTCACTGAAATGCATGAGAGTTTTAGTTAGTTGATGATCATTAAATAAATAACAATTTTTATCACGATTCTGATAATGTATGGAATGTTACAAGTTCGGATTTCCATTGTCAAAAAAGTAACATATTTGAACTCTATGAGAGAACACATAAAATAAATATGAATGACATTTTTGACCGAAATAATTGAATGAATTAGTTGAAATTGAAAAAATTAGCAAAATTGAATAAGCTATCAATACAAAAATTCAAGAAATGTAAGAACGCTAATTTGGAAAGTAGGCAAATTATTGTAACCTGAAATGATAAAGAATCAATAAATGAGTTCACAATAAGTGAAGTGTCAAATATATACAAGCAACAAAAATCTTATGAACATGAAAAAAAATCAAATAAATGATGAGAAAGGCAAAAATGAGAAAACGAGAAAAATATATTATGCAATTCCGCTCAATAACTCCGTAACAGCCTCACTGGCATATCAGAGGTTTGTATTATCAAGATATTTCAGGAACTTCAGGATCACAGAAGAATTTTTTCGGAATCAGCACATGAAGAGAGTACGTACCGCTTCCATAACTTGAAAATTATAATTTACCTAATTTATATAATCACTCAATATATTTTTTCAGGCCGTAAAAGGTGAAAATACCCGCAAAAAAATCGATAAAAATCATAGTATATGGATATTGTTGATAAAAAATTGCTTCAATAATATAGGTATTTAAAATTTCAAAGTTAAGGTGATTCAACTCTAATGGCACTCAGTATAAAAATTCTATCAACATGTCTAATAGCTAATTGAAAGTCCCCGTGACAAAGTTTCAATAGATTTTTATTATTTCTAGAACAGAAAAAAATATCCGCAAAGTGGACTTTGTGAAACACCAAGTTGATGAATAACACAGATATTTACCAGGGAGTTTAAAGGGAGTCTGTCACTCCCTTTATCGAAATAGTTGAGATTTTGTTATCGAATATCATCGTTTTTCGATTGAATATTATATTTCTAAAAGTTCACAAGCTCAGATAATTCACTTCTTACTGAAAAAAGAATTTCTCTTGAACAAAAAACAAAAAATTTCTTTCTCTATTTCTCTCATTTACTGGAGAATTTCTCACTATAACTCTCTCTTATATCAACGTTTTCCGATAATTTACTCTTTACTGAACAAATAATTTCTCCTTAACAGAAAACAAAGAATTTCTCTCTCTTACTGGAGAATTTCTCACTATCACTCTCTCTCACCGAGGAATTCCTGGCTCTGTCTCTCTTACTGAACATAGAATTCATCTCGTGTACTGAACAAAAGTGTTTTCATTTATTCTCTCGTAAACGAAAACCTATCGAAAATAAAAATGTTATACATGAATACACCTGGTAATCTTGTTTTTGACCGATGTATGTTTCTTCTGCAGCTTTATGTATAATGGAGAAGTAAACATAGGACAAGAGCATCTAACGGAATTTTTAAAGACTGCACAAATGCTACAAGTCAGGGGATTGGCCGATGTTCCTCCAGGGGCCGCTGGACCAAGACTGTTGACGGACCCCGAACAAAAGATCTCACCGGTAAGTAAAAACCATATGAGGTCGAACACGAAATTTAAATTTTGAATCACAATCCTCGCAATTCATATAGTATATACGAAGTCGATTAGAATGGCATAAAAACTAAATAGTTACCGAACGTCGACAATGTCTTTGTATGGTATGGGCGGCGTGGTAACATTTTTTTCAAACTTATTTTATTTGTCATGAACCTATATGTTTTTTTATCTTGTGTATTACATGTGCTTTTAGTAAAACTGTTTCTCTTTTTGAAGTTCTGAGAAATAATTCCACTTTTGGAATGTTTTTGGATAGACAATGAATTATTCATAAATATATTAGTTTCCCGTGAATAAATAAATTCCTCGGAAAAGTGAATAAGTTATACAGGGTATATTAAATTTTGCTCCAAATTATTGGAATAATACATTCATTTATTTTACCACGCCTTTGTCGATTTTCCAAAAACTTGCCCGTCCAGATTTTAAATAGTGAAATATTGATTTTCAAAACATACTTACGAGGTGACCTATTGAAACGAAAACTGACGGTATTCCCGATTAAACCGTTAGTACTTAATAATTGGCATCATAATCAATACACTCTCAGCCATCACTGTTACATTGCAGACAATATCATAACTAGTGTAATGAATGATTTGAATTTTCATACCAAAGAAGAGAATATAATGAATGTGTTTACATGGAGTACATTTTATATCAGCTTTTTCCAAAAGCATGATTGAAAATATTAATTGTTAAAAAAATAGTCTACTCCCAAATTATGTGAAATAATTTAGTTCACTTGAAAGGTACATGAAAGTCATAACCAAATGAAAATCATATTGATGTAAATACTGTCACATAAGTCACACGAAGCCTTATCCTCTCAAGAATAATTTTTGATTTCATGAATGGACTGGCATGAGAACCGGTGAAAATCAATTTGAAATCATCAAAGCTATTCCACCCAGAAATATTCATTCATATGAGAAATCGTTTGTTGAGTTAATTACAAACCGAAAGATAATCAATCTTTTTGTTTTTGGCATGTAACAGACATGAGTATTGCAATATTGTCCAACACCTAACATTATATCAATTCAAGACAAAGAAAAACTTTTACTCAATTAACTAATGATTATCGATTGAACCCAACTCGTTTTCAATTAAATTTGCGATTTTCAAACGGTTTCATAAGAGGTCACAGTCGACATACTAATCTGTAATTTATGTTGATTAGAAATAACCCATGGGCGTTTTTGAAGCCGGTTCTATTGGACTGAAATCGGAACCATTCCACCGATGGTGATACCTGATTGGCCAGCTGAATAACGTGACAGAAATTACGGAAATCAAACCATATTATGGTTATAGTTTGCATAACTTATTTTTGTTTGTCACTGATGACACGGTAGTTTATGGGATTCTTGTACTTTATGATGATATTTATTCATTTCTTAAAATGATTGCTTTCACAAAATCAATTAAAATACTTAGCAATTAATTAAAATGGCATTCAGATGATATTTCAGGATATTGGACAAATAACACAATGCCCTTGCAACAATACACAATTTTATGAGATATGATTTTTTTAAAGAACAACAAACTATAGAAGAGTGACAAGTATAGGTATTGTTAATATTAGGGGCATTATGATAATGCATCGGTCAGAAGTTTACTAATTTATAATTCATATCCAGGAAGTTTCCTAATGCAATGAAATTAACAGAAGTTCATCTTATGAAAAATCACCCATAAATCTTTCTTATATGTCAATACCTATTCTTGGAAATCAATCTTCAAATATTATAATATTTTTCACATAATAAAAGATCACAAAAAATATCAGAACTGTAGCAAATTTGAATACTAAATTTAAAAAAAAAGCAGAATGCATCAAAAAAGTCTAATTCAATTCATGACATTCCTTAAAACAAAATCAATTTGACTTATATTATCATAAAATCCAGAAATAACGACACGTAAAAAAGTTATGAAACTAGTAGTCGGAAGCCTGTCGGTTCGACGTGGGTGCTTTGTTCACTCACTCAAAACGACCGCCGTGTTGGTCGCTGGTTCAAGCCCCAGACTGAACGATCGATTTCCACTTGCTATCGTCCAACCGTGTTAGGAGTCACACGTTAAAAGTTAAGACCTCGTTGGTCCTTAGCTCGCAAAAGTTTCGACTTCTGAAGGTTGTCGTTCGTAGGGGTGCGACAGCTGGTTAACGGAAAAACATATTCAAACAGATTCAATACATCAGCACGTTAAAACAAAACATCAGTCAAATTTGACGTGAAGTGAAAATTTTACATATAAAACAATATATTAAAACGATTATTTCTCGAAATGATTGAAAGTATTCAAGGCATGTTTTCACGTTGAAGAAATGAAGGCCCCATACAAAAGACAACTCTTAGGAGTTGAAACTCGTGCTTAAGATTAACGATGTCTTACCTTTCAACGTGCGATTTCTAGCACGGTAATTCCATGAATGAAAAAGTGACAATGATACTCTTGTTAGTTCGTACTGGAACCTCTATTAAAACACTTTCCCAACAACAGATAAGGAGAGATCTTAGTATTCTTTGACATATCTTCGTTACTTCCAAGTGTAAAAATACCAAAAACAATAATAATAATATAGTAATAATAATAATCTTTATTGAAATAGGAAACCTAATATACATATCTATGAGTGTAATAATAACACTAGCACGATGAAATATAAAAAAAAATATGTGAAAAATTTTAAATTTTAACAATTTGAGATTTAAACTAGCATGTAGCTAGACAGTGAACATTACATATAAAGATTTCAGTATCATATGTTAAGTAACATTTAAATAGCTAATGAAATATAGGTACATATATACATTAAATTATTATTAAAACAGTGATATTTGGTTTCATTACAGATACAAATACCCTAGTGAAAATTAAAAACAATAAATGATAGCCAATAATGTCCCAAATAATTCCACATAACTTTACAATTTTTATTCTATTACTTTTTTTCAAATTCTTCAAGTGCTCTTTTAAGATCTTTTAAATGGATATTTTTTTTATTTCTTCAGGTAATTCAATGAACTCGTGGAAGCCCTTAAAAATTAACGAATTCATGGTACTTCCGAATGCCGGTCTGTTTATATGTATACTATTGGAATTTCTTGTATTATAATTGTGAATGTTTTTATTAAATTTGATGTAATAAAATATTCTGGTGCCATTCCATTTACAATTTTGTATACTAGAGTCATTGTAAAGTCTACTTACAACTGATAACCAATTCAAACAATCAAGCATACTTTTTATGGGAGTGCGGCGATTTATTTTCAAGATTACTCTCATCCTTCGATTTTGTAGTTTTTGTAGCATATTTAATTTGAATATTTGAAGGATCTTTCAGATACTTATGATGCACTGTTTGAAACCTTTGGTGTAGCAATGAATATTACTGGAGTTTTTTCCCAACACCAAATCGTCATTTTTAACACCTCGACACGTGTTTTGATCACCAAGTGATTGAATTTTCAACAGCACGATGTCGAGGCAGTTCTTAGACTGTCGACTGTTGCGTTGCCTCAATGCTCCATAACAATAAGAACATATTTTGGATTCTGAAATGTACTTTATATGAGGTGATACCAATACAGCAACATAATATGATGATACTCCTTCTAATGCTCTCAAAATGTATGACCAGTTGGTCAAAATTTCATATGGATCGGCTATTTTCCTTACCGACTTTCAGTTATATGATGGAATTAGCCAATACTTGATGAAATTCCATAACAAACCTCTTCAAAAAACACATCTCCAAATCTAAGGAATTTGTTTTGAACTCATGCTAAAAACCTTTTTTTAATATGGAAAAAACATTCCACTGGAAGTAATGAAGTGCTTAAGATACACTCTCTACATTTCAAAAAACTATAAAAGTGTTTTCAATATGAATATTCCAATTCTCGATTGAAATAATTGCTAGCTTTCGAATCTCTTAGTTATCTAAACGAATAGGATAATTTCAAACTCTGTTCAAATACCGGTTAATGTTGAATATGCATGATTATTTGTTATTTGGCAATACGCTTCATAATTCTGATCGATATTTATTAGCATCATTTTGAAAGTTACAAGGAAGTGAATACGCCCAATTAATTTGATGTTTGCATAAAAAGTTGTCTTCAAATGGTTTCATTAAAATAATTTATACCAAGTGCAAACATTTATTCTGACTTTAATGGCTGGCGAAAAATTGGCAATAAGAATTTGGCAAGATAATTAATTTAAATGAAGAGTTAAAAAGCATTTCAATAAAAAATTAATTCAAAAAGATTTTTACAAGGATTTTGTCAAATTGAAAATATCCTTAAAGCATTATAAATACTGAATAAAGTGATTTACCTCGGATTCAAATCTCTGAAAAATGGTTTCCGAAAGTTTATTCTTCCAATGAAAGAGTGAAGAGATTCAATATTATGATTTGTGAAGCACAAAATCTCAAGGTCGTCTCCACAATTTATCACCCTCAGATGTTAGAACGGTAGAACCATCAATTAGTACATGTTTCGAATCTATATAGGTTCATCATCAGCTAATTATTTAAAAATTCTGCAATAAAAGAAGAACAACATAATAATAGTTAATACAATGAAGTATAAAATCCTCACATAGAGAAGAAAATATTTTGTAATATACTTCGCGAATCTACTGCACAGATATAATGGACTTCTACCATAGATATTGAGATTGTCGGATGTTCCAGGTGGAAAATTTACACCTTAATGACCACAGGAACCTTTCCAAATGAGAGAATTTTCCATACGTCGAATTGTTTATAAAGAAGGTGAGATTTAAGGTATTCTCATGTCTGTTCAGAAGTCTTTTAAACATAGATTCAAGAAGTCTATGCAGAAAACATATTTTCACAAAGTATTATCGTTTATTCATACACCTTTATCCATAATAATAGTAAACACCTTCATTACTAGAGCAACAAATAACTACGACAGC